TAAAGGAGACATAATAAACAATATGGATATTTCCAGAGCCACTTAATCAAAGTAATTGGGGAGAAATCTCGTGAAACTGAAAGATCCCAATGAATAAAGAGTCGAGTTCCATCACCTTGAAAGGAGTTAGTGCAAGACACATAACACCTCTGGGATCTGACAAGACATAACAAATGATCAGTGTCTGACTGGTTATAGAGGTGTGAAATGGCTGGCAAAAGAACTGGTGAAAAGGATTTATCCCCTTCCCTGGCTGCCATAGTCTAAGAAAGAAAGGATCTCTCAGGGTATAGCAGGATTGAAGTGGAATGCTAAAGAGTTTTGTGCACATGTGGTACAAACAACTCCAACCTATGACATCCACATGCCAGCAGCAACAAAAAATATCCATTACGGGAAAGGTGATACATGGTACACAAGGCTAAAGGCTTGAATGGATGTTGAAACAAAGCATGAAATACCACCCAGTTGGGTAATGTAATTGAAAAGGCCATTTGGGAAAAAGGACTCTAAATGATTGGAGAAGGCTGGATAGCACTGGAGAGTCAAAACTTTCCAATGTTTAAAATAACGAAATGTAGTTGATAAATATGACTTATCTAAAGTAACAGTAGACAGAGCTAGACCAGAGTAAAAAAAAACAGGTCAAAAAACGAGATATGATGTGCATGTTTGAGTAAAGTGGGTTCATTTTCCTTGTGAGACACCATTGGCTATAAGTGTGCCATTTCCATTGATAAATGGCCATTGTAGGTCTATGAATAGATTGAGACACATACAAGGCAACTTCAGAGTTTAAACCCCGATGTCATGCAAAGGACTGCATAACTTTTATACATGAAGTTTGAGCTTGGAAAAGTTTAGGTGTAGAATGATGGATTGAGGTAGCCTTAACAGAGATAGCCAAAAAGGAAGAGGCAGAGGTGGACCCTCTTGAAGATACTGTAGAAGAGGAAACCATGGATGGGATGGACAATCTGATGCTACCAACAGCTCTCAAGTAGAGGATCAAATCATAGTCAGAACTCTGGGTAACAGATGAATTAGGGGAAAGGCATAGAAGTGCAATCCTATCCAATCTGGGGTGAATCCATCTACTGCCAAGGCCCAAAGTTGAGGTACCGGGGACCAAAAACGCCTGTAGTTAATAGTTGCTATGAGTGGCAAATGCATCGATCATCAGAGTCCTGAACTGAGAGCAAATCCATTGGAACACCTCACAAGGAGCATCTATTAGGTCAGGAAAATTTGATTGGGCTGAGACAGGTGATTGGCTATGAAATTCATCAACTCTGGAACGTGACAAACAAGAAGGCTGATACACTGGGAGTGAGCCCAGTAGAGAAATATCCAAAGTTCGAAAACAAAGATCCTGAGAATGCATGCCCCCATGACAGGAAATTTAAGAAGACCACCATGGAATTGATGGAATGAATCATGACAACTTTCCCATGCAACAGATCTAGACCTTGAACCATTGCCTGTTGGACAGCAAGAAGTGCTAAATTATTAATGTGGAAGGAAGATTCGTCTTCCAACCATATACCCTGGAATTCCTGACCTTCAATATATGCACCCTATCCCTGAAGTGAGGCAAATGTGAAAAGATGAAACTCGAGACCAGGGGTCAGTATAGGAACTATGATCGTAGTGTTGATCTGATCCAACCACCACTCAAGATCTAAGATGTTGCCCACATCCCCCAAAACAGATAAAACCATTCACGTAAGTAAGAGCCTGACTGCCCATTCCATAGCCTGGAGCTGGATGGCAGGTGGCTGAGCCCAGCTTAAAACATGTTGAAAAAGACACTCAGGGGGACAATATTTTAAGTCAGCAAGAGAATGGATTTCTTGGCTTTGACACGAAAGCCAGCCTCGGTGGTTTCTGAAGGGAGAATCTGGCCATGTTGTTCTACCAAATGACGAGATGGTTCCTGAAGTAACCAGTCATCGAGATAATGAAATGTTCCCAGGCCCAAATTATGAAGGTGACAAGAAAAACCTGTATGACTCTACAGAAGACATATGGTGCGGATGTTAAGCAAAAGGATAGATCTCTGAACTGCAGAACCTGACCCCTGTACATGAAATGTAGATAATGATGGAATTACCACGCTATGAGAATGTGGAGAAATTCATCAGCGACATAAAACTTGGCCATCCACAGACCTGGTTTAAAATGCTAACATAGGTTGAGAAAGGACTCTAATGTGAACCTGGGAGGATCCAAGAAGTGGTTGAGATGAGTAAGATCAACGATCGGCCGCCAATCTCCCATTTTTTGGGCACAACAAATAAATGGGAATAAAATCCAGGAAGAATAGGATCGACTCTCACAACCACTCCCTTGACCAATAACTCTCTAATAGCCTTGGAACAAAAATCCACACTCCACTGGTATATTGGGGTTGGAAATACCACAGGTTGGGAGGATAATGGAGGTGAAGTTAACAGACTGACCATCCCTGATGTCGGAACCTGAAGTATCCATGGATCTGTGGTGAAGGAATTCCACGTGTCCTTCAATTGTTGTAACCTCACTCCAACAGACCCCACCCATCTAAAGTTGTCACCAACTGCATTGGCGATTGTCTCTCTGAGCAGAAAAGCCTTGAAACTAAGGATAGAATATATTCTGAGTATAAATAGAGCAAGGAACAGAAGCCAGCGGCTGAGACACATGACGAGCGGTCACGCCATGACTTCCAGCAGGAGCCAAAGAAAGTCTAGAGGTCAACAACAACAAAGAAAAAAGCAAATGAGTGACACAAATTCGTGATTCCAATGCCTCTGGTATGCCCATGAACATCAATGGATAAAAAAAATTAACCACTGATAGGCTTCTGACAATTTTTTTTTGGGGGGAGCAATATTTCTCAGACCAAACTGAAAGTGAGGGTCAAACGAATCCGAAAAATTATGATCTGTTCAAAGTTATCACAGGGTCTACTCTGGAACCCCACATATCCAAAAGAGGATCTAGTCTGTGGAATCGAAACATACTGGCAGTGGTAAGTCAAAGCATGCTATTCAGACAAATTAGAGGCAAGTTATATCTATCCCGTCATGCAATAGAGCAGTACATCTCTCAGCATGAACAGCAATTTTAGGTAAAGGAGGAAAAACTAACTTACCTCTTACCACTTACCCTCAGAACTTTCAGCCATCAAGAAAGGAGTAGATTCAAAGGCAACCAGAGAAAGCCTCCAAACCTAGTAAACCCGACTGAATAACTCAAGAAATGGAGCTGGAGATAGTTGATTCAAATTGGTCTCCTGAGAAGCCGACCTAGTAAACAAAGGTGCCGGAAAAAGGGTCCAAATTCTCTCCAGAATGTCCTGGATCACTGACAAAAACAGCCTCAGAACCCCCTGCAGCCTTGGAGATATGCCCTGAGACCAAATATATGTCTTGATCTCACAATTAGTAAGATCACATACAGAGTGACTCCCCCTGACCTTTGAGAGATGCTAGATAACAAAGGTGGAATACATGAGTGCTGATTATCCTTCATGCAGGAACAGTAACCTGTGAATTCATGCCTGAAACGGCTGGTCCCTAATTTTTTTTTATTGGCAATTATTAAGTATAATTTATACAGAAAGCCACTAGAAGATGAGAAAATCGCAACCAAGTATATTAATTATCGCAGCATTTGTGAAGAGAAACCCGTGGCTAAACACTTTGTCGAGTAAAAGTGACAAAATTATCTAAATGAGGTGCTTATATACAGTACCAGGATAGAGGGCGCATTGGCGTATTAGAAGATATATCGCCAAGAGCAACTGAGCGGGATATAATAGACTGGAGCAAGTGATAAAAAATCAGACCAAATGAAAACCCTAAGTGTCAGCAGATGGTAAGTATGTTTTGGAAGAAAAAATTGTGGCTACTTTCTTGCAGCCATTTTTGCTCCAGAGATAAAGAGTTAATCATGCTTTAAAATTTAATACAAATTAATGGGAAATTTATTTTTTAAACATACTATCATAAACTGTGTATTTGAAAACAAAAATAATGTTAATAGACTGGAGCAAGTGGGAAAAACTCAGACCAATGCTTAGATGGGCAAGGATGAGAACCCTGAGTGTCAGTGGATGGTAAGTATGTTTTGGAAGAAGAAATTGTGGCTACTTTCTTGCAGCCATTTTTGCTCCAGAGATAAAGAGTTAATCATGCTTTCAAATTTAATACAAATTAATGAGAAATTTATTTTTCAAACATACTATCATAAACTGTGAATTTGAAAACAAAAATAATGTTTTAATTATTATTTCAGCCATAAATCAATAAATAAAGGAAAGAACAACTTTTTGGGTATTCAGTTTGAAGCATGTTTACTTCAAAGTGCAAAGGAGACATGCTCAAGATGTAAATTTATATACATATTCACTTCATGCAGATTAGTAAGTATACTTTCATCACTCTTGAATGGAGGTTTTAGTTGGATGTTACAATGAAGAAAGTATTCTATTAAAACATTGTGAGAAGGAAAACCAGACAGGCAATATGACATTTGTCATAGATCCAGTACCACTAAAAATCCATTATAATTCAGATATAAAAGAGAATTAATAATTATGATACAAAAGAAGAGTCAGAACAGAATTAATTACAGATATGAATACAAGAAACATAGTTTCTCCAGTTCATAATGTAAGATATGGATAAGAACATATCTCCTCACTTGATTTCAATGTGTGTTATGTTATCATTTTTTAATCTTAAGGTTAAAATTTAAAACATAGTATATATGATTGTTGTATGATAATTTTTATCTGATTTTTGAAAGTGAATGCAAATATCACGATGTCCATATTTAGTTCGTTCAGATACTCTAAGCATGTCTCATTTGTTTACATTATTGTGTATTTTTTTCTAAGTTACCTAGATACTTTTCCTAAGGTTTGCATAAAATGTTTACATATGCATAAGTAATAAAATGACACCCTTAAAAAATATCTGTGTTTATCTACATAAAATACAGAAAAAACATACCTTTTTTCAGATACTGAATAAGACAATTCTCCATTCAGTCCAATATCTTCATCTTTAGCCTATTTGGAATAAATTTTAAGGAACAACCTGAATTGTACATGCAATAGAAAGTAGATATTCTATTAGTACAAATTTGTACCATACTATGTTAAGATCACAACAAACATACCGGTGATTATAGTGTTATGCAGTAGTTTTATCTGTCATACATATTCAACACTAAATTATAATATAACAATGTTTAGAGCCAACAAGTGACCTATTGGGGCATCTTGGCTGCCCCATCCTCTAAAATAAACTAAGACTATTAAATAAATAAATATAAAAAAAGCCAGCCCTTATCATTCATATAATTATCAAGCTTTCTCTTAAACTTATTTAAATTTACTGCCTCCATAACATCCAAAGGCAACCCATCCCAGAGGCCAACCACCCTGTTAGAAAAATAAAACTATCTTAGCTGAAGATGACTTCTACCTACCCAAAATTTATATTTGTGTCCCCTAGTTCTACTATTCTCGCCATTAAGTATGGAAAAAAGATGATGCATCAACACTATCAATTCCCTTTACAATCTTAAACACCTCAATCAAATCATCTCTAGGTTTTCTTTTTTTTTAAGAGAAAACAATTTCAGAGATCTTAACCTCTCCTCATATGACAACCCCTTCTTCCTAGGCACCATTCTAATAGCCCTCCCTTGAACCCTTTCCAACTCTGTACAACAAACTAGAAAAAAAATGCTGTTCTTTTTCTGTTTGATAAATCAAATCAATGCCAAATTAGTAAGATATTTCACCCTTCTCGGGTAGTTTATACACAAATATATACAAATTAAATTCCAAGTTCATGTTCCTCATATGCAAGTAATGTTTTCTAAGTGTTGTATTTCAGCATATTCTTAAATTTAGATTTTTAGCATTTATTCCATATAGAAAAATATTCAACTTAAGCAAAACAAAAACTCTCTGTACATACTGCGAGTGTGACAACTGTCATCCAATTTTGATTTCAAAGGTCATAACATATTGCTTGATCATCTTTTACTGTAAGATATATAGATTAAATATAAATTATATTATGACTACTACTTAAAATATTTTCAATTGCAAAACGTTTTTCTTTTTTTTCATCCAATTAATTTTTTTCAATGTTTTAGGTATCTAACCTGTCAAGTGTATCTGCATCACCTACAATGTTCACAGCTAGTTATGTTAGAAATGACAGTATATGTAGTTCAATAATAGTTTTGATTGTAATTGATGTAGGCTTTCTTTTTGGAAAAATAATAACCTTTAAATTACAAAAAAAAAGAATGCTTACGATCAGAAAGTATATTGGTCATGCAACAAAGAAATACTATGAAACCAACAAACTTATACAATATCTCTTTAATTGTGAATCTGCTTTAGTAAAAACAGGTAGTCTGCTCTTGAATCAATCTAGCATTATTTTTTCTTTCAGATGTGGCCACCTGTAGGCAAATAATATCCACCACACTACACCTCATTCATCATCACTTTCTCACACGTTAACTGCATAGTAAACTATATGTATATTAATTAATACTTGCAACTTACTACTTCTATTGTGAAGAATCTTTTTTTACAAGGCTTACAGTAATAGTACAAGCATGATATTATAATTTAATAACTCAACATTCATACAGATGATGATTGGCATTGAGTTTAACTTTGTACAATGCATTTATTATTGGTTTGTTCTCTTTGAAGAGAAGTATGAAGTACTATAAACATGTGACATACTAAGATGATGAACCACGATGTACAAATAGTATATTTCCTGCTGACTAAGAAGTTTGATATAGATATATGGAGAAACTAATGAGAGTAGGGCAGCTATATGAATAGCAAGTGTAATAATAACAACTTTTCATATTATTTTTAGGTCCTAGTCATTTTATACCACAGCTTAAGTTATTATATTCAAACTATTACACAAATCTGATATTAGAGGCAACTCTGAACTTAATGTTGTTGTTCATGTAACCCAAAGTTGAGGAGACAAACAGACTAGATTTGAGTATCTATGGTAATCTGAATCGTAAGAACAGTACTTATATCAAACAATCAGCATATATATATATATATATATATATATATATATATATATGGAAGTGTTACTACTTCAACCAGAATCTGTAGAAGGTCCTTCTCAACACCAAGAGAACATAACTTCAAGCTTTAAAAGTACGACTTTCCATCATTATATGAAAATCGACTTTAACTAAAGTTATTTTGTAAATGGTACTAAGCACCATATGTAATATGTCATATATATTTTGATAGAGCATTAAATTCTTTGAAATAAAAAGGGCATCCTGAAGTTTGTAAAAATCATGACTGTAATTCCATTATCATTTCCAAGTGGCTTGATGTATAGCCATAATATTTGGCATATGCTTCTCTGTGAATAAGTCTATGATTTTAATATAATAGCACTGATATGTTACCAAATTTTTATATTTCATTTTGCAAACTATCTTGTTTTGAATATCATAATCTTTGGAATAGAATGCTTTATTGGAAAATGAACTGACATTTATGTAAAATGTTTTATATTAGAATCATTATAAATTGATAACTGTCAATAATCCTTATAAATTTAACAGAGATCGTGGAAGTAGAGGTGGTAAAAAATACATATTGTGACCAATAATAAAAAAAGTAATCATTATAAAACAACAAATATTGCAGGTGTGACAAAAGTCATATTTCTTGGTGCACCTGAAATAATAGTATCAATGAACACACAGCTAATTTGTTGTCTGTATGTATGTTTACACTGTCATTGTATTACAATAAATAAAAAAATGTCATAACAATGTGCCCACATTTTATGAAATGTACAATTGTAGAAAATGGCTATAAATATAACATGAATGCAAGTATAAGCTTCTAGTATTTGCATCAATCCATAAATTAATGTTCTGCAATTTTCAGCATGCCTTATATATGCTACCATATGATCCTGTTCTTTATTAGTTCAATAATTATGTCATTATATTTGGTAGCAACATCAAAATTAATCAAAGGCTGATAAGAATAATGCTACACTTCCTTCACATTTTCACTACACAATTACATTCAGAAGATTTTCGTCTCAAGGTCAACTCTTCCTTATTTCTATACAGATTTTCACTAAAGTATTTTTAGTACATGTGACTAATTACATAATTGAACTTCAATAACGCAAAATACTGTTTAGTAGTGTATTGTAAAGCAAGGTATATGAACTTTGTTTACAACATTAATCAGGAAAGTACTTAAAACAATAGTGATATATAAGTGTTCTAAACAGATTGTAGTTGTAAAAACACATTAATTTACAATCTTAGAAAACAATGTTTTCCAGTCACCTAAACACGACTTTAAAATATAATATGGCTGTAATTGTGACTTTGAAAAAGTCAAAAATATCTTATTAGAATATGATAGACTGATAGTAAAGGTTGACAGCAAATGTTTGTTAGAAATACAGTCAGTATTGTCAGTGATTGTTTCAACAGAAAGGCTAAAGACCAAAACCTCATATGTGGGTCTATATGTAAGTCAGGGGCCATTGCACCTGCTCTGATGTTACAGTGTTCTTCTTAAAGCATTCTAGAATGTTGACATCACACAAAATGTTGGGGAGAGATGACACTGGGGGCCATAAACATACCAGCTGCATTAACCTTGTGTACAATATATAATACCCTCCAAATCCACTTGGAATCAAGAATAGTATGTCACACATCTTATAGCTTACATGTATTATTCTTACGGCAGTATTTTCAAAAACATCTAATGCTGAAAGGAAAACAAAGATCAAATACTCTTAAGTAAATTGTTCAGTTACAAAAGTACAGACGAAACAGTAATGTATTCTTATGCTCTGAATTATTCGTTTGTTTGTTTTGTGTAGTTAAGCACAAAGCTACACAATGAGCTGTCAGTGCTATGCCCACCACAGGTATTCAAGCCTGATTTCTAGCAGTATAAGTCTGCAGACATACCACTGAGCCACTGGTACATATCTCATACCCTGAAAGGGGTCATTGGAGAATAAATAAACTTTAAAAAGTTCATTACTGATGAATAGTTAATAAATTGTATTTGTGTTGTTCCATTTCCCAGTAAAACATATAAATATGAACAACATATTTTGATGTATCCTCCAGTTTCTATAAAATACACTGAAATAGTAAATATTAATAATCAGTGTATGTGTCACAGAATGTGCATGGGAGAAACTTGTATGTTTCCCATAGACAGCAAGCACCTCCTTACACTGTACACTAACCAGCCACAAGTTCAATAATATATGAACTAATGGTCAGTTGTATACAACCTTTTTCACTGTGAGTGACCTTGAGCGACGTGGACTTGAGCTGGTAGACTTTACAATATCTTTAGGTTAGTGAGATAACTAACTCACTAAAATAGCCAAGTTTCTTCAATATACTTTTCTTATATAGTATTGAGGGTTAACTAGCCATTCCACAGATAATCCATACATTCAAAGTAAGCAATAAAGTTATGTTTAGCATTACTTTGGGTCTATTTGAATATACTGATAATTCAGTTTGACTTTGATAATCATTTACTATATTAGAGCTTCGCGAGTGTTATGGTGAATAAACTGACAGACAAACTGAAACCAGTTACTGTTGTTTTTATGTGGTTTCTCTTGTAGAGGAAGTTCATAAAGTATTTTGAGCCGTATTTTAGGTTTTCTATGTATGTGCATGGGCCAGATTCTTTACAGTAGGTGTCTCTGACTTGTTCACGATAAATTTCAACAATCATCAAACAGCACACAGTCCAATTGTTTTAAAATAATATATATATATTAAAACAAGCCAAATGCATATAAAAATGTTCATCACACAGTTAATCACCACAGTTGTATCCAGAGCTTTAAATAATTGTCTCTTTATCAAGAGTCCACACAGGTTTGTTCAGTTACTTTATAATACAATTAACAAGACACATTATGCTTCTCTACTCTGTTGTTAATATATAATCTGCAATAATTACATTTTTAAATCACTGAT